ATCTTTTTACTGGATCGAAAACGCAGCATGTACTGAAGTGGGATTTAAATACGCTTAAAATAGTGGGTAGCTTTAATGTACAACCTTATACAGAAGATCCTGACAATGGAAAAAGTCGACGTTCGCACATTATTGCTATGTGTTTGTCCACCGACATGAAATATCTAGCTTTAGCCGAAGGCGGCAATAATATACAGATTTGGTGCCCTCAGCAATTGACACACTTGAAGACTTTTAAAGGCCACCGTGATGTGGTGACTTCACTAGTATTTCGTAAAGATACACATGAACTGTATTCAGGTTCTAAGGATCGCTCTGTTAAAATTTGGTCGCTGGACGAAATGGCTTACGTTGAGAGTTTGTAAGTAATAAGTTGAATAAAATACATAAGAAGCGTTACGAAAATGTTTATCACAGATTTGGACATCAGGCTGGTGTGACTGGCATAGATGCGCTAAGTCGAGAACGCGCTGTATCATCAGGTGGTTCTGATAATTCGCTACGAGTTTGGAAAATAACGGAGGAATCCCAACTCATTTACAACGCTCATCAGAGCAGCATAGAAAATGTCAAGTTCATAAATGATGAAAACTTCGTGTCTTGCGGTGTTGATGGGTAAGCAAGCTTATTCATGTATAAAAGACATATGATATTTACATTTACAATAGTTCACTTTGTGTATGGAGTGCAATGAAGAAAAGACCACTCTGCACGGTGCGTGAAGTGCATGGCAAGCAAACCAATTCCGATGCCAACTGGATATGTGCTATTAGCTGTGTAGTCAATACAGACTTAATTGCATCAGGTGAGTGTTAATCTGAGTGTGTTGAGAAAAAATTGAATTATAATTAATACGTACGTAGGTTCCTGTGATGGTTTCATACGGCTGTGGCAGTCTAGTGACAATGGCAAGAAACTGAAACAAATTCTGGAAATACCCATGAATGGCTTTGTAAATAGTTTAGCATTTAACAACGATGGCACTAAATTGTATGCTGCCGTTGGCCAAGAACACCGACTGGGGCGATGGTGGCGTGATAAAGAGGCGAGAAATAAAATCGTTGTTATTGACTTGTTAAAAAAAGAAGTAGAAAACTCTAGTTAAGTTTATATAATTTGCTTTATTTAGTAAGCAAAATAAAATTTTATAAAATTTATTAAGTATTTTTTATGAGACTAGAAGGAATAAATGGATAACAAATCCTTTATAAAACATTGATAAAGGAACACTGATACTGCAGAGCTCATCAAAAAAATTACCAAAGTTATAAGTCTAAATATTCTGGTTACAGCCAAACTTCCGATTATTATTGGTAAGCCGAGTCATTTCTCTGCAAGCTTTTTGAGTTCCAGCTGGCACTTAGTACTGAGCTATCTGCTAGTCCAATTTTCTTACAAAACTACTACATAACTTAAAAACAGTCTTCTCCAATCACATCTGCTATAGTGGCTACTAATCTCCTGGAATGTTCAACTGCACACGTTGCTGTTACCAAACCCAAATGTATACAAAATAATTCGTAGCATTTAATTTTGCCTGGTGCCGCTTCGGGAAAACACTCTTCAGCCAATTGCTGATAATACTCCATCGCAAGCAAGCCAGGCTCATACTGCGTTTTGAGAACTTTACCTGCCGTTGCGGGAGCATTGAAATGCTGCTGTAGATCAACTGATTTCAAGGCCCCACTCGCTTGATCCTCAAACCACAAAAAATAAGAGTAATTGAAAGTTTTGTCTTTCCACATGACAGTTGTTTGACCTTTCTTCAAATAGTTGCGTGTGAATTCCACCATTGACCAAAGTTTCTCCTTTGGCACAAGTTGATTGACTCTTAAGTCGGGCGCTATCATAAGCCCAGATGAACGATTTATGTACATAAAGTGAATTAAACCTGCGATGAATCAAAATTATTATAAACAATGGAGAGTAATTGAAATGGTGTACAACATACCGGGGAAGTCCTCTAAATAAGCTTCTATGGAAATGTTGCGTTCCGCCTTGACAGCTAAAAATTCAGAAACTTCGATTAACTTGCTGTCGACAATACTAGCTACTTCGGGCAGTTGGTCCAGTGCTACTGAAGAACTATCACAACAGGACAGCGTAAATAGTTGTTTTAAATCCTCCACAAAGGAGGGCATATTCGATTCTATCCGTACCAGCATTTCACGTTCAAAACCCTTTAAAAACTCCGCATACATTTTGCGCAGGTTTTCCCATTTAGCACTGAACTTTTTAACTGCAATCTCAAGATCGTCACCCTTGAGCTTGGCACGTTTTAGGGAATCCAACGATTGCTTAACAAATACTTTCAGACACTCATAGGATTGCTTCAAGGCATCTGTATCGCCTTGCGTTTGCACGGAAACAATTTTCTGCAGCACGAAGAAAGTGTCGTAAATGCTGCTAGCCACCTGGACATTTGCGTATTCTACGATTTGTATGAGCACAATGCCTTTTTCCAATTGCGTCAGATGCGCTATGCAAGGCACACAGCCTGAACATGGATCCTGCGACAAGCCCTGCAAAAATACTGCCACAGAGTTGTTTAGTGGCTTTGTGTCCTGCTGTAGGGAGCGAACCAGCAGTGCTAAGAATAGCAGATCTGCCGCACTCAAACTCAGGGCTTGCTTTGTGCTGGTTATGCTTACAAACTTATGCGAGACAAACATTAATGCGTGCGCACGATTATAGCCAAACTCTCGTAGGCGCTCCAGTGCAGCATCCAAAGTTGAACGAACTGTACGCTTTAGTTCTGCATTAATCAATAAATGTGGCAGCGCTTCTAACATCATCGACTGTTCGGTGTCAAACAAATGCTCTTCATAGCACTCCAAGCAAGTGGAGAGCAGTTCTTCCTGCACGCTGCTGGCCTGTGTTGAAAATATGTTTGCTCCATAGAAAAGACGCGTTAGTGCAATAGCTACACCCAAGTGACGTTTCAAAGTTTTTACTGGTTTTTGTCCAATTTTGATGAACGTGCAACCGAGCAGTTCGCCAAATGTAAAATTCAAGCCGTTTTCGCACTCGAAGCTGGCGTATGTGTTATCGAATTGGAAATGCATTATGCGTTGCGAGTTAATAACTGGACTGAATATTTGTAAAATTATATTACCATCCACAGCACCTATAACATTAATTCGCCGTTTTTGCCTTTTATTCACAACGAAATATTAGGAAATGTACCTACCATTGGCATCTTCATCCAGCAGTCCTTGCTTAATTGCTATATCCTTTACCTTTTCCGACAGTGCGGCGTTGAATTGTTGGAAAACAACGTCATTTGCACTGTTAAACACTATTAAGCCATTCATTTTGATTATTTAAATTTTGTGCTTTTAAGCCATAAACATTTTTGCAATTTTTTTTAAGTGTAGAGAAATTTTTCCGATGTAAATATTAAACTACCCTATGTGGTGCTTCTTCTTCAGGAAAACTTCTTTATTTACAAAAAATCTTATCAATGTCATATTGTGAATTAGCAGAACAAAGTGAGTTGAGAACAGATAACACAAGTACCTGCCATACTAAGCAATTACTCGTTCCTTTCAAGTACGTCTATTTGACGTCACTAAGGATTACCAAAACATTTGTAAATTGGAGTACGTGCGTGCTTCAGAGTTCTAAAAATTATTATTAAAAAATATGGGAAAACTGCAACTCGAACACACTTTGAAAGGCCATAAGGGCAGAATATGGGGCATAGCATGGCATGTGAATGGTGTTATATTTGCTTCGTGTGGTGAAGACAAAACAATACGCATTTGGGGTGTATCGGATAATGTATGGACAACAAAAACAATACTTTCAGACGGTCATCAACGCACGATAAGAGAGATAAGTTGGTCACCTTGTGGGCAGTATTTAGCTTCAGCTAGCTTTGATGCAACTACAGCGATTTGGTCCAAAACATCAGGTGAATTTGAATGCAACGCTACATTGGAAGGGCACGAGAATGAGGTGAAAAGTGTGAGTTGGTCAAATTTAGGTGGCTTACTAGCCACTTGTTCACGTGATAAGTCTGTGTGGATTTGGGAAGTTGTTGGCGACAACGAATTCGATTGTGCAGCTGTGCTCAATTCTCACACTCAAGATGTCAAACGTGTTGTGTGGCATCCACATAAAGAGCTTCTGGCCTCTGCATCATATGACAACACAATAATGATGTATTCTGAAGGTGCTTGTGATTGGGATTGTGTCGCCACTTTATCTTCACATACTAGCACTGTTTGGGGTATTGATTTTGATAGCACTGGAGACAGATTAGTGTCGTGTAGTGATGACAAAACATTAAAAATTTGGCGATCTTATAAACCTGACGAAGAAGAATGCTTTAAAGAAAATACATGGAAACTAATATGCACTATTTCGGGCTTACATACACGTGCTATATATGACGTGTCTTGGTGTAAAATAACTGGACTGATAGCTACGGCATGTGGTGATGATGCAGTGAGAATTCTTAAAGAAGACGAAAGTTCTACTAAAAATGAACCAACGTTTTCGTTAGAGACAGCAGAAGATAAGGCACACATGCAAGATGTGAATGCTGTAAAGTGGAATCCAAAGGTGTCTGGCCAGTTACTTTCCTGTAGTGATGATGGTACAATTAAAATATGGAAATTTGTGGAGTAATTGGTTGATGTATGAGTTTATTGGGTTATGTGTACGAATTAATAAAAATTATATTCTATTATATATATTAAAAGTATTGTATTAATGACTAAATGTATTATTTTTTAACATAAACATAAATTTATTTGCATAGGAATGGCTCATGTAATGTTTTATACAACTTTTGGGCCTTCCGTGGGCCTAGACCAATTACTTGCGAGAGACGTTCGTCACTCGCGTTTATCAGATTTTCCAAATTACCGAATGTTTGCAATAATGTGACAGCATCTGTTTTGTTCACCGGTTTTATGTGTGTGAGTGCAGCTACAAGCTAGAATAATAGAATTCGTTTACAAATTCTTTAGAAATGTATATGCAGATAACCTTTTGATAGGGGCTTGACTCTGTGCGCTCCATAATTAAGTCCGGCGGCCGCTTTTCATACAACTTATATGTTTCAATAATTTTACCAGCTTCTTCATGATTCCAAGCTAGCATCAACGTGAGATCAGTTAATAGACTAATACGTGTTAAACTTTTCAATGCATTGTGTGGTTCCTGGTTAAATAAAAATCATAGATTTAAGCCAACAATAAGTATTAAGGTCTACTTACTGTTGTGTCAACTTGGACCAACAAAACACGTAGATCATATTGTTTACCAAGTTGCTTGAGTCGCTCACATATGTAATCTGGATTCAAATTATGGTATTTTAACGATAAGTATAGAATGCAAGATGTACGCCCTACAACATAATCTGGTATAATTTCATTATTAAATTCCCATGGTGCGTTCAGTATTGATTTGAGTATTGGATTTCCACGTTGTTTTGGATTAACTAATATTGTGTGCGGAGTTGGAGCTTTAGAAGCTGTAGCAACTTCTTTTATTGCATTTGTGGCCACTTTTTTCGCAATTTCTGAGGTACCATCATCTTTCACGACTAGCTTCAGTACTTTTGGTGCTGTTGGTATTTCTAGATTGGCCAGCTCTGCATCAAACGAATCATCTGGACCATCATCAAACATTTTTGTTCTTTACAATGATATTGAAAATATATAGTTAATTTAAAATAAATTATAATAACATGTATAGGAACAATTTAAATTTTTTGTTAATTATTGGTATGTATTGATTGAACAATCATCTGTTCAATTCGCCGTAACGGCAAATTTCAGGCAAAAGCGTGAACATACTACACGCCTCATGCAATACTATTGTGAACTGATTCAACTGTAAATAATTCGAAAGAAAGTAATTTTTAGTATTTATTTCATGGATTTACTTTTATTCAATTAAATATTTGCTACTAATGATGTATTTTTTGTATTATTAATAAAGTTTGTATTTAAAGTGGAAATTAAGTGTTTTCTATTTCTTTCATAAGTTATATGCTTTATATTTCACCATTATACCAGAATTAAAATATGCTTATTAATATTATTACGGCAATATAATCAGTTCTATAAACAATATAAAGAAGAAATAAAT